CTGTCAACTTGTTGTTTTTCACTTGCATATCTTCCAGTTTGTGGGAAAGCAGACATATATAATCGGCGAAGTCCAGATCCTCCAAGTTTTTTGTGTGAGTCCATTTTATGCGTGTTTCCTCATTCCCCGCTATCTGTCACTGTGTGATATGTCGAATAAACTTATCAAATATGGAATTATATTCTACCACCACAGTACCCAAGTTCTACATTTACACTAATAATTAGATGACGGCTTGAATTTCCGAGGGATTGCAAATATGATATTGTCATGAATTTTGTTGTTGTTGTCACAGCTTAATCTGACTGACTTGATGTCCATTTTAGTGTGTAGGTTGGTTGTAGTGGCGTCGATGGAGGCGCATTCAAGTCTCAGGTTAAACGAATCAGTATCACTTCTTCACAACATAGACACCCATGACAATCCTACCAGAGGTCGAATCCAGCAGTGGTCTTCGCATTACAAGACAACCTCGCTAACAATTCAAACTTTCGGTGGGAATCTGATAGTTAATGAATTTTAACCTGTGCTGCTATCAATTCGTGATCTATTTTATTATTATTAGTTATTTTATTCCTTTATGCTCCCAGTGGAACATAGGACACCTTCAAGCTAGAGGCTTGAAGTTTCGGTAGCAGTGGCATTTTGAATTTTACGGGATGGAGTTGCTAGCCAGCCTTATACCCAACCTCTCAGTCTTATCACTAGCTTAACGAGGTAATGGTGTGTCGGCCGAGGATCGAACCTCGAACAACGTGTTGAGTGGTAGGCGAGCATTCTACCACTGTGCCACCAACGCATCTCCGCGATCGAACGTGGAATTAATTAGATAACTACACAGCTAACACACATTAAACTACAATGACATTAGTTTTGAGTTTTTGACATTTTTTTTATTATTTTGATTTACAGCTTGATTCCACACCGTATTTTCAGAACAAGTATGGAATTTCCAGCATGGATATCGGTAGCCCAAATTCAGGCCGACCATAGATATCGGGTGTGCGCGGCAGGGGATCGAACCCCGGACCATGTGCATAGTCGGCGAGAGTCCTAACCACTGTGCCACCGACATACGTTAATTGTTAAATTTATCTATTTCTGATTTTAGATGTGCACAAAGAGGGAGTAAGCACACATTTGCCTACTTAAATATATGATGATTCCGTGGGAAGTAGCTCTTATACAAGAAGGAGCATTTACCAACACTGCCATCAGCCAAGTATGCACCATGTGTTCACAGACATTATAGCCTTTTCCAAGATTGAAACAATAATTATTTTTATTTATTTATTCATTTGATTTATTCTTCTTTCAAGCATATACTACTTATACTCTAATATATTACTACTATGACAAGAATTGATTTTCACTGAACGATTGCCTTTCAGTATTTTTAATTCTCATATCATTTGCATTATGTTGTATTCCTTTCGTCAGCTTCCTTAAACAGGATGAAATTACGTTTTTCACTTATTTCTGCTAGTTACACTGTTTGCTTCCAGCCTTCCTTCCTTCATTCTTCCCCTTTGAAAGTTTTGTAAGAAATAAATAAACTTATTTTGAATCATAATTGCATAGAATTTTCTCTTAATGATGATGATGATGATGTGTAGTGGAGAAGAATAATTCTTGTAATTCAGATGGATGGATGTTGTTGTGTTTGTTTTGTTTTTCTTCAATATTGTGCTTGTTGTTGCTGTTGTTGTTTGTGGTTCTTGTGTTGCCTCCCTCTCAGGAGGATTGTTGATTTAATGATTGATTGAGCTTTGATTGTCCACCTTCCAAGATAACACAACGACTTCAGGGCATACATTTCAAATAATAATAATGAGTGATGTGAGCTTTGGAAATCTATCATAGATGAATGGATCCAGTGGTCAAATATATGGGGTGGGGGAGAGCGGAGGGGCAACGCGGGAATCAATACGAAATACAAGTATATGCAACCATAAGAATATATATGGGGATTGAAGGAAAGATAAACATCTCATTCTCATGAAGGATTCCCAAAGCTGTTCACTTCACAACTTAACTTAATGCTGAATATGATGTCGGTCTGAGAAGGTGGACAATCAAAGTAGCAATAATGAATGAGTTAGTCATTCAGCTTACTGAGGCGAAGTGGCGGGTAGAATAACACCACCAACAGTGGGAGTTTTGTTTAAATTTTTCATGATTTAATCAAATACACGACACAATAATCTTACTGATTTTTAAATAACATTGATTGTTTTATATTTAATGGCCTGTACCAAACAAATATTTACTTCTTTTGATGTAGTGGTGTTCTCTCAACTGGATGGTTTATTTGTGAAGCGTTCATTGCCCCCTACTAGGCAACATCTTCAGCGCATACACTTCAATTCGATGAAGTGAGCTTTTAGATTTATCCACGATTTCATTGGTCATCTTTCCTAGTGGGTGACCTTGAACGTCGTGATTGGTTGTATTTGTGTGTTTTCACATCCTCTGGGCTACTTGTATTGGAACTGAGTGTTGGATGACACATTTATCATGATCAAAAGAAACGAGTCGGATGAAACTCACAACTTAATAAACAGCGTTTTCAACGACATCAAATTCACAAGAGAAGAGGAATCCGAGAATAAAATCCCATTTTTGGATGCCTTAGTCAAGAGAACAACCACAGGAGAATTAGAAACTCACGTCCATAGAAAATCAACTCACACAGACCAAATACTCAATTACAACTACAGCAACAATTCAATAGCAAACAAAAGGAATTGTATTCAAAAACAATTCAAGGGGGCCAGGACTCATTGAAGCACTACTTCCTACTTGAAGGAAAATTGAAGAAAGACATCTCATGGACGTCTTCCAAAAGAATGGATATCCACGGAAGTTCACCAAATGACATTTACTCCCAAGCCAACCTACCATATCAAAGGTCCCCAAGGAAACCACATAGAAAATCGCCTTAACATAGGTAAAAGACATCTCAGAAATCACTACAATACTCTCCAAACCTTTAGGAATTGATGTTTATGATGTTGCACGCAAACCAACAGAATCTTTTCACTCAACTGGCTCTGTGTCAAACTAAAGACTCAACAGTGAAAGAAGATAAAACCAAAATCACCTAGAAAATAAACGGTAGCAACTGCGAAAAACACTACATTGGAAAAAGTGGACGCCCATCTTCTTCGTCTTCTCATCCATGAACATAAACTAGACATAAGCTAGACATCCACTCCCTCATATCACTCACTGCATACAGACAACCATGGACATCAATTCGATTGGGACAACGTTCAAATAATAGACAGAGGAAACACCAAGAATGCTAGAGATTTTTTAGAAGCCTGGTATTCCAGTGAATAGACACATCGACATAGACAAGATTTACCAATCGATAAGAAGGAAATCTCACACACAAAGGGTCAAAAATCAGGTCAAGGAAACAATCAGCATCAATACAATACAAGTAGCTTAGAGGGTGTGAAAAAAAACATAAATAACCAATCAGGACGTTCAAGGTTACCCACCAGGAGAGATGACTAATAAACTCGTGGATAAATCTAAAAGCTCACACCATCAAAATGAAGTGTGCGCTGAAGATGTCGCCCAGCAGGGAGCAACGAACGCTTCGCAAAGAAATAAACTATCCAACTCAGAGAACACAACTACATCAAAATCACCCACCTGAGCTACAAATCTTCTCCATCATATTTATTTCTTTATAGGGCATTGATGATTCAGCGGTAGAACGCTCACACACCTCACATGGTCCGGTTTCGATACCCCGTCAGAACATTCACAACTCTCGTTATGCCGGTAGTAAATCCTCTGTTTCGTGTAGATTGAATTCTATCAGTCATGTGATTCGGGTTTGAAACTCAGAAAGGACATGAATTACTTCAAGGCTGTAGATAAGCCTTGCTTACTGACTGACTCACTGGCGTGAGTGCCAACTAGCACAAAATCTAGGTCAGGCATTGCTACCTTGGGCCGATTGCCTCCATCTTACAATTATGCAGAATCAATCATCACCTCTTTTGTTATTACGAGTTTGACCACGGATTGATATCAGTTAGAGAGAACCATTGAAAACTAGTACTGGAGTACTGGACAGCCAACTGTTTCATCCTAGTTTTGGGGAATTATCGGCAGTACGCACCCACGGGGATGTTCGCTAATGACTTGCTACAGGATGGAGTTTCCGGGAGAGTTCTAGTGAGAATTCGTGACCAGCGAGGTAGAACCCGTTAAGTGTGGTGATGGATTTCTCACCGATGACATTGGTTGGTGCCAGTCGCGCTAAATCACGAATTGGTAGAAGTTAGATATCACGGGCTGGTCACTGAAGAGTTGGGTCGCAGTGGCTGAATGGTTAACGAGCTCGCTGGTCTTGTAACCGGAAGGTCCTGGGTTTTCAATGGTTCTCTAACTGATATCAATCCGTGGTCAAACTCTAAAAAGAAACTTAATCTTCACAAACCAACTCCTGGCACTCTTATTTCATATCAGAAATACCTACTTCCCCTTGATTAATTAATTATTCGAATGAATATTACTCAACAACCACTAAAATTGCCATGGGAAATTGACAATGAGCCATACCCTATTGTATATGTGTTTGTGGGTGAGTGATTGATTGATTGAGTGAAACATAGTGATACTTACTACTACTACGACTTCGTAGACTAAACCCTTAAACAGGTTGAGTGCAACCCATGACTGGTTTTGATTGATCTGTTGGTTGATATCTACCTAAACTAACTAAATGAGAATTTTTGTTTGATAATTATTCAAACAATGTGTGTTATCTATCATAATTGAAAGTGAACTTCTCTTCTGGCTTTTTCTTTTTCTTCCTAAAATTTATATCTCCATATTAGATGATGAGAATGAATTAGAAAAAAAACAGACAAGAGAAGAAACAACACCTACACCAGCAACAACAAGGACGAGCAGAAGCATCCAACCACTGACAATAAATATCAGGAATAATAATAATAATCCAGAGAGGATTGACTATGAATTTATTTCCTCAAAGTGAACTATACTACTCACTATTTCATTTCAGCGACAATTATTCTTATGAAAAACAATGGAATAATAACAATAATAATAATAACCACAACACCTATTATGATGGAGGTGGAGATGATGATTCAGAAAGTGATGGGGCGGCAATAGTCGACAGAACTCCTGCTGGTGTTGCTCATGCCGAGGAGGATGTTGATGACAATCCCCTCCAACTCCATGAAACTAACTCGGAGCATATTCTCTGCACACAGTGTTGTACACATAATACAATAATAGGGAATGTGAGAGAAGGAGAGAAATGGAAATCACAAACATCACCACTTTCCAATTCTCAACAGCATCGAATGATCAATTCATTCTGCACATATGAGAAACAGGCGGAGAAAAGTACAACAAGGCATTCTAAATATACCTCATCTCATACATACTCCTATCATCGGAGATATATTGATGAACGCGTCAGTCGTAGACGTAGAACTCTATCCTATCCATCCAGGAGTCGACCATCTTCAAATTATTCAATACCGAAATCTCATCTGATCATGAAGTCATCGGTTTGTGCACCCTGTCCAACTAGACGATCATATATTAGAACTATCAGTAAGCATAATGTGAATAATCATTTATCATCACCGTCTTCTTCTTCATCAGGTGGTGGTGGTGGTTTGTTCAATGAATTCGTCAGTTGGATACACGGTTTATTCAGTCGACCGAATTCCTCCCAGTCAGCAGCAGCAGCAACAACAACAACACTCAGTCCATATGATATCATAGACACATCTGAATCAAAACTGTACAACATAGACATCAAATCAGCTTCAAGTGATCACCACTATAAACGAGCGTATTCTGCTCCTATTCGAAATAATCAATCTTATCATAATATTACAAGACTAGAAGACGCCACCACCACCACCAACACCAGTGAAGCTGATGACATGACGACTGACTTCAAAGATCTGACTAGAAATTTCAGTGCACTGACGCATACACCATCTTCACCACCACCACCAGCATCATCATCCTCATGCTCATCATCATGTCTGCAATTCAGTAGACCGCCAGATACAGAGACAAGTTATTACACACCAAATGAAGGTATGACAGTCACCTCGTCGAGAACAGAAGTGATGGTAGTAGTTGGTTTATCAGTTGCAGAGACAGCAACGAATAAAACAACTACTGCAATGAATTCGCCTCTCTCACCACCACCACCACCACCACTACCACCAGTCGATCATTCCATCACACCGACAAGCAAAACAAATTCACTGAAATCAAGTGAAATTATGTTGACGGAAAATAATTCAATAAGTGGTGGTGGTGGTGGTCTCTTCGACAATTGTCAGTCAATAATCAAATATCCGCGTAAAAGTCAAAATATCACTGAATTCTACGATGATGATGATGATGATAATGAAGGCGATAGATTTATTAGGCCAGATCCCATAGAGATACAGTCATCAGTACTAGTAGCAGTAGTTGGTAATCGAGAGAGTGACAAACACTTAACTGCCAGTTGTCAGAATCCCTCGGCGATCACTCACTCATCTTCAGGTAATTTCAATAAGAATGAACAAGAGGAAATCTCTGAAGTCTCTGTCACATTGACAACTAGTTCTCCGCCTGGAAAACTATTAAATCAACAGCGTATTAATCAAGGTGCCGCTGATGACAACACCAATAAGTCAGTAAGTATTAGAAGTAGTAATCACCCTCATAGACAACAGGTCAATGACTCGAATTTCATCTTTGAAATCAGTCTCCAACCTGAATTGTGTGCCTTAAAGGGAATTGCTTATCATACTGATCAAGCATTAACAACAGAAATCAATGACTCAGTATTATTCAATAAACAATTCCAGTATGTAAACACACAACTACCATTACAGGATAAACATAAAGCAATCAATGTTAAAGGCGTGAAATATATCTCCTACGATAATGTAATACACATTAATCAAGATTCGGAGACAGTATACTACGCCGCCGCCAACGGGGAACAAATATCACAGTTGGCTCCTGCAATACAAAATCCATCATCGATGAATACTCATCACGGCAAACAATGCCTGACAGGGAATTTGGAGACCTCGGAACAAATTCTATCACCTACATTCCATGTTGAAATGAATGAATTGCATAGATCACCACTACCTGGAGTGGCTCACTACTATGATAAATACAATAGCACTGATCATCGGATACTCGCCACAGAAGGCATAGCCGCTAGTCAAAAACTACTCGAGAAGCGTTTGTCTGATATTCATCATCAAGGAACAGGACTGGACACGGTGCCACCATCAGGAGTAACAACAACAACAACGACAATGATGATGATGACGACGGCAGATGGGGAAAGTGAACACAGTAAGTTACTCTGTATGAATCAATTTGGAGAAGGAATTCTCTCTGGACTATTGACCTCACAATTACGCTTAGCACGGAAGTGTAGTTCATACGAATCGGAGAAGCAGCATTGGGGAGGAGGAGGAGGCGAGGGAGGTTATGGTGGTTAGGGATAGTTTGGCGAAGAAAATAAAACAATTACAACAAAAGATCACAATTATGCCTGAACAAATTTATCATTGTAAATCAAATATTGAAATGGACCATTCCATAAATACATCGATTGACTACTACTACAGGGTAAAATCTACACCTGCGACTATTAACCAGGATACCGTTTTCACAGAGAAAACTCAAAGAAGTGATCACTCTGACGACGAAGAGATCTACCAGCAGCATGCAACAACACCGAGCAGAGAAGCAAACTTTTCACCTGAAAAGATTATCTATTCTCCAATTGATTTCAAACATCAATGTCTCCTGAATAGAGAATCACCAGCACCAGAAGCCAAAAAAGCAGTCACATCTGATGATATGCATGAAACTGTTTTAGAGGAGTGTGAAAATGACCAAAACACAATCACACATCCTCCTCTTTCTCCTCCTCCTCTTCTGTATACCTACGAGTCATTAGAACTTTCAGAATTACATAAAACTGACACAAAGATACAAGATGTACTAGTTTCACAACAAATTTCATCGAAATACGCCAATTCATTCCCAATACCAACACAAGTTGAAGTTGATGTTGTACTCGGTTCTACCACTGAATGTGCAATCAAAGACGACGAAGTTCATCATGAGAAGAAGAAGAAGAAGACGAGGAATAAAAGTCATGAAAGTGAATCATCGAATTATGATCATTATCATCATTGTCATATTCCATTGAATGACATAAGATCACAAAGTGAGTGTACAATACAATTGGAGGAGTCAATAGTTCTATCAAGACAAACTTGTCGTGATTCAGACTCTGTTGTTACTATGACACAATCTAAGATGACAACGGCTTCTAGTGACAATCTAGAAAATGACTCAGTACTACTTGAGAAAGACTTCAATCTGTCTACAACATCATCTGAAAGTGATATGCACGAACAGAGAACAACGCCTGTTAACATTGAAGTTGATCTCTCCAATTCTCAATCTGACGCCGTCCATTGTAATTCTCAGCCAACAACAGATGATGAGGTGATCTCCAATCGAAGGAAGCTTGACCAAGTGGTAGAAATAAATCCAACCATGATGAAAAAGGAAAAATTCTTGAAGTACGCCTCCTCATTGAAGACAACAACAAGTAAGCTTCCACATGACAATTTCATCACAGATGACAACAAAATGTATCCAGAAGAGACACCTTCAGAGATTTTACACTTGAACAAAGTACCAGTAGTCGAGATGAAGAATCCAATAACCGAACCACTTGATGAAAACACTGCAACAATCAAAGAATCTTCGACACCAGTGCATATGAAGGAAGTCATACAAGAAAATTATACACACGAACAACAACACCAACAACAACAACCAGACTTTACCGCAACTGACATACGACCATCGAATCTCACTGGCGGCTATTCTAACAAACTAGACAAGACAAGTAGAATCATCCAATGGGAAAATGTTCAAACTAACGAGGTGTACACAACTGTTGATTTTGTATATAAGCAACAAGACACCACCACTACTGATGATGATGATGACAATGATGAAATGACTGTGATGAATCGAAATACAATGACAATACCGACATCATCTCACTACGATGAATCATTGACAGAAACAGACGACGACATTCAGATATCATTTGGACAACATACACCATATCATCACAATAAATCCACTGGTGGAATCAATAACACACAGGATACAACTGTGGAAAATGAAGAAGAAGGAAGAAGAAAGTGTCGTGGAACAGGAACACCAGGACATGAAGTGAATTTCAAACAGGAGGATGTTCAAAACGACAGCATAATAATAACAACTCAAAGAAGTCTTCTGCATCAGAAACAGTCACTACATGAATCAGAAGAAAACATTTGCAATGAGAAGAATGATGATAAGCATAGTGTAGTGGCGATAGTGGCAGTGAAACATTCGATCACAAAAGACCAACTCATCCGCATCCAGCACAAAAACCAGTGAGACCAATTCTACGCAGTGACGACAGTTCAGTAACAACACACGTTGAAGAAGAGTCTACATTCTACTCGACTATGCATCAAAGACGCATCATAGATCTTCAATTCTTGGATATTCTTAATAGAACTAGAATGATTGGTGGAAAAATGATGCTGACAGAATACTCACCTGAACAGTATTACAAAGAGACACTAATAATACCAGAATTACTCTGTCAAACACAACATAATTCATTTGAACAGAACCCTCGACACAATGATATTCACGGCAGTAGTACTAGCAGTCGCAGTGGTCTGCAGTTAGACAGAAACAGTGGTGGTGGTTTTGGCGGCGGTGTATCAGAATATGCCCAAGATTCAACGCTAACCGAGAATGAGGCAAGTTATCGTTCTATTGCACCGACTAGGAAAGCTTTAAAATTAGGCGCCATTGAAGAGATGCTGTGTGCTCCACTAGTGAACACTGGAATTCACAAAGAGGCAAGCAGATCAGATGAAGCGGTTTTCGATGCTCTGAAAGGCAGTGGTGAAGAGAAACCAGTTGCCTATTTTGTAGAACAAGAGTGTCAGAATAACCAAGAAAGTCATTGCCTAGGTAAAATATATGTGCTTTTAACGCCTACAATTGAAATTCAAACAACACCATTACTGGGTGTTCCATTGAATCAATATACCATGACAACATGTTGTTCAGTAGAGGTGAAAGCGGAGAAGGAGAATGGAGAGAGCAGGGAGTGGAGGAGTAGGACGAAGAAGGAGGAGGCGACGAGTGACGACATCATATCTTCACCGAATCAACAACAACACCCAATGGAACAGTCGTCTAACAAGGCTGTAATGCAGAAACCAATCAACGCATATCTCAGTGACACACAGAATCAAAATTCTAAAGCAAATGATAATAAGCTGAACTTGATAACCAACTTTAGGGATAACAATAATAAAAAAGCACACCTGAAGAAGAGGAGTATATCGTTATCACTTGACAAACTGACACAATCACATCTGTCAATATCAAAATTTATACTACGATTGAAGATTAGATCAAGAAGTCTCGGAAGACTTGATCTGCATCATCTAAGCATTGAAGAGGGAAAAGTGTCAGGAGTAGACGATTCAGATGACGAAGAGATTGAAATTTCTGCACGGATACATCCTTTCAAGGAGGGAATCCATAAGGAGGCGAATTTAGTCAAGACAATATTCGCTACGGAACAATCATCTTATCATGATGAAATTGGTTTCAGGCGAGATGTACCTCAAGAAGGAAGTGATGATAAAGTGGAGAAAACAGAAACTGAAAAGCGTCAGATTTGGGAAAATGAAGCAGTAATTGAAACACAACTACCGCCACCACCACCACTAAATACTGAAGACTCCTTCTGTGCTTCACAGACTAAACACATGGAACAATTAGAGGCAATCGATCAACCAGTTCTACTCAAGGACGATAATACCAAAAACCTCAAATTCAAAATAGAAGCTGAGAAAACTATTTCTGAAATACAGTCACCAACACAAACACAACAAGAACAAGAACAAGACGAAGAGAGAAATGAGGCATACAATGATCACGATGACGATGGGGACGAGGAGGAGGCGGCGACGTCGACGGCGGCGGAGTCGAAAGGGTTGAGTCTACCACTGCCAATCGAAATCGGAGGAGGAGAAGGTAATGACTCATTTGTAGAGAAGTATGAAATTGTCCCTAGAAGAACAAATGAAGAAACAGACGACGACCAGTTGGAGGCTATTTCATCTGAACAAAGTGATGAGAATGCGGAAGAAGAAGACATGCATATGACGACAACAACTTCGAGTTGTGGTGAAGAGTCAGCGAAACATTCCTCCACCTCAAACTTATTATCATCTTTATCACCATCATCAATCAAGGAACCACATTGTGAGAATGAAATTATCCTAGAAAGTAGTCTGAGCTACAATGAAGTCAATCGACAGACAACTGCAAAATTAACATACACCACGACAACTGCATCGGTGCCAGCTCACATGAATGAATTCTTAACAATATCAATGACATCTATTGTATCACCATCAATCCATTATAGAAGTGAGCTAAGCTTTACTCATCAACATTCTGAACAGATAAAGACAAGTACACCGACAACTCTGAGTAAACTGAGTGAAACACCAGTGCCTACAAAGAGTGGTGAATCAACAACCAGCTCGAGTATTTATTATACTGCTCAAAGTAATCCAAGTGGTTATGGTGAAATTGAAGTAGAAGTCAACGAACAAGACGTTGTTCTTCCTGCTGCTGCCTCTGTTAACGTTGACAAGAAGGATTCATATGATGAGTCTACATTGAAAGAAGAAGATAAAACTCCAATGCAGAATGATGATGATGTGATAAATGAAGCAGAAAGAGAGACGACTGGCACAGAAACTGTCAAGGCGTCATCATCATCATCATCGCCATCGCCATCATCACAGAGTGAAGCACAACCTGATCATCTACACCAAATCGAAGAAGAAGTAGAAGGAGAAGAAGCTAGTGAACACGTTGATGAATTGAAAGAGAGCATAGAGGAGGTGAATGTGGAGGCTATTCAATCAGCTCCTGATATACTCAATTGCAGTTTATCAGAAAACATTGTAACATATAATGTTGATGGAGAGTTGAATGAACAAATCGCTGTAGTCAGTCTAGAAGTAGATCATGCACAACCAAGTGACATCGTAGACATACACGACATGGACACTGACGCTGACACCGGAGTCAGTAAACAGCTTCATTTAACACAGATTACTACTGAACAGCCACTAGACGATGATGAAAATCATCAATTCCAAGAGTTAACTGATGCAACAGAGCCACTTGTAGACGACTCACAACCGCCTATAACTGTAGCCCGTACAGTGGAAGTAGAGCGACATAATGATGATGATCATGATGATGATAATGATGATTTGGGTGAAGTTTCCATGAACAGACAACAACCGTATCAAACGACAAGCCATCCAATTAATATTAAAGAAACAAGCAAGGTGATGCAAGAACATTCAGCCAAATCAGAGAATAATATACTACTCAAACAAACACATGAAACAGTTAAAATGGAAGATACAACAACCAGAAATGAAAACAATCCACGAAGAGAAATACCACGATTTGTACAATGTGAAAGATGCTAGAGAGAAAAATGTACCTTATGAAAGTGTCAATGTGTTGGATCGAGTTCCTGATACAATCACTTCTGGACTGGAACGAAAAGAAGAAGCTGAGAGTCGAAGTCCCAAGTTAGTCAAAAAACAACACGCTGTCGTGATGAGGGAGACTCCTATTATTAATACGGCACCACCTCAACCAGACGACAACGACGACGACGCCGCCGACGGTAGAAAAGCGAAGTCTACAAAACTGGAAATATCTAAAGTCCCAGTAGTCATGGACAATCTAACTCTTGCAAAAACTGATACAAGAGCAGATACACCAGTCATTGAATTCAAAACAGTTGATAGTCCATTCGATATTCGAATAAAACCGATGGAAGTATTACAAGCTACAGGGAAATCTGTAAGTCAAACATTTGGTGATGATGACGAGTTGGATGAGATAAAACACCCAGAAACTTCAGACATCCACCTACCTGAGATGTTCACCTTAAATGAATATGAAGATAAGTGTGAAGTGAAGGAGTTAACAACAACACGAGGCGAAGATGAAGAGGAACACTGTCAACAGATGAAACACGAGAAGGAATCACCACCCACCACCAATCCGTTGGTGGTATGTGTTCTTGTCCAAGTACAACAAACACCAGATACAATAATAATGAGAAATGAGGACGATCAGATGTTAACGAACCCTGATGAATTGAAACAAAGTTATTCTCTTATGGATAATGAAGAGGAAGAGGAAGAGGCAGCAGAAGGAGAGATTGTGCAGACTGAAGGAGTCGATATAACTGATTACTACTTACAGTCTCCACTAGAGGACAAGATAACTACTGACAAAGAAGACGAAGAAGAACCAGCCTACCATGACATCAAAGTCAACCAATATCATAAAACAAATGTAACAACTAAATTCAATCTTACAGTGAATCACTTCGATGTAGATGACAAGATGTTCTCATGTTCACAAAGTGGTAGAGACATTCAACCACCTACAGATTTGTCAAGTGAAACTCAAAGATTACCATCACCGCTTTCACCATCATCATCCTCCTCCTCGGAAGTGGTTGATCATCATGAAATCATGCAACGACAAGAAGACCAAGAAGAAGCAGAAGAAGATCCAACAATGAAGAGACATTTTACACAACTCAAAGAAGACGTGAATATCTTGAAAATAACCTCGAAATGTACATATACAAGTACACCATTGAAAAATTATTCATTGAGACAAAGAACTACAACAACTAGAATCCCCTCCTCCAGTTTTGAACGATCTACATCACCACAAGAATACACTGTCGCTTCTACTGTCTGCCTACCACACTCCGATGGTACAACCACTGCGAACACCACCACCACCACTCTCACACATTCAGAAAGTCCTTATCCAGCCACAACCAGCTCACCATCGATGACCAATCTAGGCTGGCTGTTAGATTCCTCCTCCTGTCTAATAAGCCGATTTGATGAAAGACTGAATAAACATCTTATTGAAGTATCACCTAATAACAGGATATTTAAGAAAGCAACTATTACAGAAACCAGTCACCATCAGCTACCAACTATCACAGCAACTGATCAAAGTCCATCACAAGAACAAACAACAACAACAACAGCGACACCACCAACAACAAACAGACCTGAAGGAAACCAACTTCGTATAACCATCTCTCAGAGTATACGCAGAAATTATTCCTGCATTTCAAAAGATGATAGCCACACAGATAACTTGGTAAGCAGCACCAGTAATGTAATCACAGCTACTACTACTACTACTACCGGTTACTACAATCTACGACGTTCATTGTCTGAAGATTTCAAAGGTGATAAACATACTACATCACACAGTGAAATCAAGAAACCAACAAGCTCACTAGCACTAGTCGACGAGGAATCTGAAGAGATGTATATAGCCAGAAAACTGACTAACGAAGCGCTTAACAAAGCTATTGGCAAACTGTCTATCGGCTATACAGACATTCCCTCACCGCCACCACCAGCATTGAGTTATTCAACTCAAATTACACAGAAAAAGAACAAAGAAACACAACAACAACAACAGCAGAAATTCTCTGATGAAGAAGAAGAGATTATAACACGATTACGACAAGAATATAATATACAATTACCTTCAAGAATTATTGATCAGCATCATCGGTCTACACAAAGTCCACTGACTATAATCATGAGTACAACACCAGAGGATACAACTGCACCCACGCCAACAACATCAATCGATACACCATTCAAAATTGAACAAGATGTCTACAGTGAAGTGTCGAAACAAACAATCGCTATTCATGCTAAAACACGCATATACATGTTTGAAGCGGATGAAGGTGAAACAAACGAAGAAGCACAAGGAGAAGAAGAAGCAAAGGAAGAAGAAATGAAAGATACTGATGTGTATCCAGTGAATGATGCAAATGTTATTCAGTCAATATCACAAGAATGTAGCCTCAATAAAACTGACAATCAAGTTGTCTTACAAACTTCACTCTTGGTTACAAGTCCAAAGTATCTGACACAATTGATTGATGAAGAAATTACTGATTTACGTGTAGAACAACAGCATATCGGTGTGATCAGTGGATCAGATTACAGCACCCTGGCGAAATACTCCCCAATGAACGACAGAGGCAACGATGACGATGACGACGACAATAACAGAGAGGTGGAAAATCTTCCAAGATTAAGAGAAAGGCAAGAGCTCCAACAACAACAACCACAACAACAATCTCCGGATGGAAAAACAGTTACCATAAGTCCTACCAGTGTTGTCGATGACTATATGCCATCAGAAGACAATGATGACCAGGAGAAGGATGAAGGCAAGTCGACACAACAACAAATACAAGAAGAATTATCTGCGCTTAGTTTTGCAGCACCATCAACACATGAATTCAGTGGACCAGTGAAGAAACGAGGCAGTGATGACAGAACACAAAATGACCAGCCGATAGAAGAAGAAGAAGAACAGGAAGATTTCACCAGACCTCCTGATTATGTGTTAACACAAACCTATCAGGAAATAAGTGCTACAGATGCAATAACTATCAGTCAGTCAGCAGATCATCCTATCAACGATGATGATGAAGAAGACCGTGATATCTTGAGTCGACTAACAACACCACCACCACCACCGCCGGCTAATGACCACCTTCACCAACACCAACACCACCAACAGCAACTGCAAGAGGAATTACAGTCAAGGAATGCAATCAAAAGTGAAACAATCACTCAAGACTTTGTTACTATTTACGAAACACCAGAAAAGATTCAGCTGGTGAGAAGAAGTGGAACACCAGAAAGTCGAAGTAGGCAAGAATTAATAGAAGAAGAAGGAGACGACGACGACGATGATAGATACAGAAGTATGTCAAGACCATTCACAACAACACCCACAACAACAACAACAGCTGAGATATTAGGAGGAGGAGGAGGAGAAAAGTTCAAACTGACAAATATTCATGAGAAAGATACTCCTCCTCCCCCTCCTCCTTCGCCGCCTCCTGCTACTCTGAGTCATATTCATTCAGATAATGATGAAGGCATGTTACAAGTGTCCATGGATATAGATATACAAGCAAACTACAAACTAGTTAATTCAACCAGTGAACTACACGACAAGGAGGAACCGATTACAAATTTGAATCTACATTTACCAACAACAACAACAACACAGGAGAATATTTTAACTCTGCACGAAGTTATCACCTCGCCAGCAAAACAGCATACATCGACACCGACTAATAATAAAATTAATGCATCCGAAAAAGCATCACCTCTACTCATAACAACTGCAATAACTGCATTGACACCAGAATCAACATCTGAAAAACAACGGGACGGTATGTTAACTGGCCTGAAAGAAATGCCTACAGCTATGCTGACAAGTCCAATGGAAATACAAACCACCACTGACAGGTCTCAATTGTCAATCAATCCACAAGTGACTTGTACCAATTTATTCTCCTCCATCATCAGTATACAAATAAAGCTAACACAAGGAGTGTGTAAATCAGCAGAAAGTCATAGTGAGGCAATACAATACTTTGATGATACTGAAATCAAATCGAAGAGTGAACAACAATCAGCACTACTTTTACCGAAATCTATTGACAACACTACCACTACTACTACTATGACCACGACGACTGCGACTACTGCTAGTGCTAATACGACTACCAATCAGCTTCTTAGTGACATGCATTTCAATCTAGCTGTTCGAGAGCATATCGATTTAATGACTAGAATGTCTGACCAGGAAAGACAAGCATTGGTTACTGAGACTAAGAAAAGAATGTTGAAAGATGCCAGCCTATTGTCAGATGATGATGAGAGAATTAAGCTGACTGCAGTCGCACAAGCTATTCAATGGATAGCTGATATGACAGATGATCAACGCCAACAAATCCTCGCATGCAATAATCCAGTGGACTTTAGAAGTGATACACCACCACCATTCAGTGAGAAGGTGGCAACAGAAAATCAAGTATTCCTACCGTCGTCGTCCTTGTCTGTAGACATCGCAGATAAACATCATTCGCATATGAATACTCCACACGAGTTACAGTGGAGTACTGTTGAAGCTAATTATACACAATCGATAGAAACTACTAGTCAAGTTGATTCTAGGCATACATACGATCTGGTACAACGTGACGCTACTCCTACTACTACTACTACGAATACTCCTACTACTAACACTACGACGACTGCAATGAAAGATCAACATTCAAGTAGAACTGTCGAGAGGAAGAAGGAAGTTATCGAACAAACTGCCCATCTACTACCTGATACTACTACTACTAAAACTACTACTACAGCTAAACAAATGTACAGTAGTGATACATCAAAGAGAAGACTTCCTCAACTGCCCTTATCATCATCAGTATCACCATCAGAACTAAACCAGAAGCAGTTGAGTAAATATCCAATTCAAAAGTTAACAAGGACTAGAAAGAGTCCATTAGACACACTACAATACTCTGATCTACACAAACCACCAATCAATAACATGGAGGAGCGACAACCCCAACAACACCAACAACGACCAATACACTCAGATTATAGTCTCCGTATAAATAAAATTGCTCAACAAATGGCACACAAAATTTATCCATCGAATCAGGCTACTACTACTACTACTACTATTGCACAATCAAGTCTATGCTCACCACGATCGATAATCCAGACTATTGAACGCGTTCAACGAGCTGAGAAGGTGGCCAATGCATTAGATGCCCTAATCATTGAAACTATTGACTATATTACGAAGAATTTACATAAAAAGTAATGATAATGGTAATAATCATAATAGTGTATGCTTATGCATAGAAACAACTACTACTAACTAATAATAGAACCCACCCAATAACCCCCACACCCCACTTATAAAACAAAGAACCAATGAGACCAACTATTACAATATTAAACAATTTTCATTTATTCAGTAAAAAATGTCTAACATTTGTATGCGTGTGTGTGTGTGTAGATGTGTGCATGTGTGAAGAGAACATCTTTATTATCACCATCATTATTGTCATCATCATCACAAGGAATAAAATTCTTGTGCAATGAAAATACATTCATTATTATTATTACTACTATAATCACTGGTATATATATTCATTCTTTTCACTATTCTGATTTCTCTTTTGATGTTGGCGTCTATACAAAGAGCAGAAGAAAAAAGAAGTTTAGAGAATAACATCTACTAACCTGTTGATCTGTTAATTCATTCTCTCCACTATCCTCCTCATCGATTTCGTCTTTCTTCAAATCACCAACAAACAACAGCAGAACGATAATAAGCGGTTATAAAAAGAAAAGGTCAAAATGGACATATTAAATCAGTAAAATTTAAAAAAAAAAGCAACTCATTATGCTATGTATATAAGAATATACCCAATATGTAGACGTTATGCATCTTTTCCCAATATGGTGTTGTCATTATATCGTGTATAGGACTTCGGTCTCCTTCTCGAAATGGTTGTCATCTGAACTAGTGACTACCAACTAGTGGTATCCGTCAAGAAGGCAAGCAGCCAACTATTCCCATTTCTATTCAATTTCATCACAGATGTATTAATGAATTTAACCCTAAGTGACTTCAGCGACTCAGAGATTGACTTGTTACTACCAGGGAATAACACTCTCGTAGACTTAGAATATGTAGATGATATAGTCCTCCCTGCTAGGTGAAGACGCTGACAAAATACAGCAGAGTCTTCTGAACACGTTGAGCTGCAATCTGCGAATTTTTGGCATGCGATTCACTCCCGCCAAATGTAAGACGATGAGGCTACAGGACTGGAATGGACTACATTGACTCCTAGCTTAGAAATAGGGAGTGAATTGTTTGGTGGAGCGTGTTGACCACTTCACTTATTTGGGAAGTTACATCAGTCAATGCCAATGGGTTGATCACTGACGAAATCTCAGCACGGATACAGAAGGCTACTTTCGCATATGCCAGTTTACGCCGTGTCTGGCGAAGTCGTGATATCCGACTGGCTGTCGACCAAAGGGCGTGTGTACTGCTCAGCAGTCCGATCCGTCCTCCTTTATAGCTATGAGACATGGTCGTTGAGAGTGGAAGACATGAAAGGACAAGCTAGGTAGCTGTCTTTGATCATAGGTGCGTGCGCTCTATCGCCCGAGTGAAATGGTATAATAGAGTGAGCAATATTGAGGTAAGGCATCGGTCGAGTGCTAGGTAAGGAAGGGAAATCAATCGACGATGCCGTGAAGTTACATAGATTGAGATGGTTAAGACATATGTTACGCATGCATCCTAAGCTATCGCCTTCCTCGACAACGGGCACTGTTAGCTAACATAGGATGGATCGGGTTGGAAAAAATCCAGTGGTGATGGTCAAACCAAAACATGGCTTCATCAGTCAATGAAATAAATCCACAACAGTTAGTTTAAGTCAGCCAGCGACCTAGGAAAGTGTAGACTTCCTGGTTAGGTAGAGTCCTAGGGATGATAAGAATCAATGGAGACTGGAGACAATTGGTAATTGGTGATATGGCTCAAAGTGATCGTTGTCAATGGCTGGTGGAGATGCATCCACTCCTTGTGACTTATACTATCCAGTAAAACTGTATTGTTCTTCGATATTACTATTCTTTTTGCCTCAAATCTCTGTTTACTGTCTCTATTTTGCATTTATCCCTGCTTTCTTCTCTTGCTTTGTGTGCTAAAAAGAGCGAGTATGGCGACTCGAACTGCTGCACATCTATGCAAAGTTCTATGTTGAAACCAGTCAGTCAATCTTGAAATGTTCTCATGTGGCCACGTAGGTCTTATTCACTGCTTTCACTCAGCAGGGTTGTTCCTCACAACATAAAGTGAAAGGGTGAGTTTGAAAAACTGGAAGTCTAGTGCTTGGACCAATGAGTCACAGCTACCCCACACACACACACACCTTTTTGCTACTTACTATAGGCATTTTGCAAAAAAAAGAACACCTGAGTAATATTTTTTTTTGGTTAGCATACTTCTCTTACGGTAGGATGCGCTCGTCATCCACGCCATACGTGGTTCAGGGTTCGATCCCCAGCCGATGCACTCCTCTATTACCTCGCTAAGCTAGTAATATGCCTGATAAAGAGGAAAGGTTGGGCATGAGACTGGCTAGCAACCCCATCCATCCATTTAAAATAAATACCATTGCTACCGAAACTTCAAAGCTCTCTCTAGCTTGAAGGTGCCCAATGTTCCACTGGGGATAAAAAGGAATCTACAGAAAAAGCATATTTCTCTTAAACATGAGTATTTTTTTTGTTTATATTCGTGCATGAACATTGAAAAATTGATCTGACATCATCATCTTTCTTTTCTTTTTACAGATAACCACTGAGATGAGACTGTACATACATACATACAGTGATAAATGACAGTAGTATAGACAATAAAATGTTCCACTTACCCGTTCTTCCTCCCTTTCAACATCTTGACTACACTTTAAAGAGGGGATAAAGAAGTATATTACAGGATATAGGAGTCGATGTAATATCCACAGTATTACTGGTATAACAATGCAAGGAATGCAAACCATACTGTCTCTCTCTATCTATCGATCTATCTATCTCTGTTTCTAGTGTATCACAGATCAGTTGTAATTTATTGTACAGATAATCCTAGACAGAAAGAAAGAAAGAAAGAGAGAAGAAAAAGCAAACAGTAGAAACGAGGACAAAATAGAATTTTGAAATAGTGTTGCGTTCTCTGACTGAGAAGCTGGCTGATTGGTTGTTTAACTGTCAAGCTTTAGTCGACGCGCTTCTAGACAACATCACTTAAGTGAAGGTTTTAGTATGAAATGAACTTATTTGAATTCTCTATGAATAAGGATATAATTGTGTCTCCTGGCAGCAACCATCTTCGTGACTAGTAGGTAGTTGATTTATATCTCTATTGTTCATTTTTATTGACTGACTTGGAATCTGAATTTTCTCGTCATGTGATGATTTACTTTTTATTAGCTGTTAAATTTGTGTGTGTGTGTGTGTGTTTGTTAATCGATGGCTGATTCACTTGAGTACTAGGCTTTAAGAAATTCAAACAGGAATGGATATCCTTACTACAATTTCATCAAAAAGTATTTAAGCTCGAGTCATAACATCAACAAGAAACCGTCATCAAAGACTACAAGAAAACTCATTCTATCATATATAACAAATATCTCTGGAATAACATCTAGAATATTAAAACCGTGTGAAACACATATAGCACACAAGCCAGCCAGTCCAAGCACTTCATTCGATATTGTGCAAACCGAAAGATCCAACAGGAAAAGATAAAATTAGTACCATTTAAAAAATAATCGGAACTGCGATAAGCATTACATCGGCCAAAGTGGACGTCTCTTTTGAATCCGAATCAAAGAACACAAATTAGCTGTAAAAAGACATGTAGATAATTATGGACATCAATTTGATTGGGATAATGTAGAAATTTTAAACAGAAGAAACGTCAGAAATCCTGCCATGGAATTCTTAGAAGCCTGGAACTCAAGTGAATCAACCATCGATTAACAAACATATTACTAGAGACCAAATTTACCAGCTAATAAAAAGTGAATCATCACATGACAAGAAAGTTCAAATTCCAAGTCAGTCAATAAAAATGATCATTAGAAACGTAAAGTAACAACCAGTCATGAAGATGGTTACTGCCATGAGACACAATTATATCCGTATTCATGGAAAATTAAAAATGAGTTCATTTAATACTAAAAACTTCCGCTGTGAAGGGGGATGTTGTCTATAAGCGCGTCGGCGAAAGCTTGACAGTTAAACAACCAACCAGCCAGCTCCTCAGACAACACAATTAATTCAAAATCATCCACCTGAGCTACAAATCTTCATTCAGTGACAATAGAATAACTCTATAATAATAAAATAGTACACACAATAAAGAGTCTTTCATAAAAGTACACCGATTATTGAAATAAATGAACAACTAACACGATATCAGTTATAACGTGTCAGATGCCAACACACTGCAGTTACAAAAGTAGCTAATCTGCATAGATAAAAACACCACCAAAACGATGTAAATAATTTCCTGTAATTTGTAGTGACATTCATAAGCTTCTAAGTAGCTATGGACACTCTCAAGGTTGTTGTTTTTCTACGTGCAAATATCGTCTACAGAATGACTGAGAATATATTACCGTTGAATCACTGGATAAAAATCTTATTACGATTTCATTCTAAATTTAATCACATCAATGAAAGCCATCATCAATGGGGACTACCAAGCCATTTGCAAGAGCAAATAATGACTGATCACACTGAGAAACAGTGATGTTGTCAAGAAATGTAATTAGTGGTGAGTGAATTAAAAAGCACTGGCTGTGCAACATATCAGGTCGACCTCCCTCCCCCATGCAGTTATGCGTTTCCAACACGCTGAACAACTTCAAAACTAGGACACGAAATCGGTTCAGCGCTCACCTTTTTTCCAATGTTCATGGTAAAATTAACATTAAGAAGGAGTAAAATCCTTACAAGTTAACAATTTAAAGGCTATAAGCACCTATTACAACATGGTTTTGGCTGTAAGACTGACTGACTGGTTTCAACATAGAACTTTGCATAGATGTGCAGCAGTTCGAGTCGCCACACTCCCTCAGTCTAACACATAAGAGAAAGTAAAAAGAAATGCAAAATAAAGACAGCAAACAGAGACATGAGGCAAAAAGAATAGTAATATCGAAGAACAATATAGTTTTATTGGGTAGTATAAGTCACAAGGAGTGGATGCATCTGCGCCAGCCATTGAGAACGATCACTTTGAGCCATATCACCAATTACCAATTGTCTCCAGTCTCCATTGATTCTTATCATCCCTAGGACTCTACCTAGCCAGGAAGTCTACACTTTCCTACGTCGCTGGCTGACTTAAACTAACTGTTGTGGATTTATTTCATTGACTGATGAAGCCATGTTTTGGTTTGACCATCATCACTGGATTTTTTCCAACCCGATCCATCTTATGTTAGCTAACAGTGCCCGTTGTCGAGGAAGGTGATCGATGGCTAAGGATGCATGCGTAACACATGTCCTAACATGGCTGTAAGAGGTCAATCCAGGTTAGACTTCTCGCGTATACGCAGATATATGAGATGGAAACAACAAGAACTAATAATCTTCGCTACAGGTATCATTGATTTTGACTGTAGTACTACTGGACGTCAAAAGGAATGACTTCTGCCTCTGAAACTGAGTGATGGACATATCTTGCTTTTAACCGCTTGATAACCAGTCTTCACACACTGATGCAAAGTGGTGGTCATCTACTAAGAAGCACAAGTTGCTCCTTCTTTATCAAATGGAATTCTAGCAATGAAGCAAATGACAGATGGATTAAAGTTGTCCTCAATAAGAAAGAATAACTATGCAGTGAACGATAATCTGGACTTTAAAAAAGACATCGCAGATAATTTGGTGTATTTCAAAAACTCTATCACTTCACTGACAACTCTGAATTTATTTAGAGTGTATTGTGTGTACTTAGTGATTTACTTCTCCGATAAATAAAATATACATGGGTTATTCTCTATATGAGGATGAAAAGTCCTCTACATGGAGATATATCAGTGCGAAATGGGTAGTTTGAAGGAATTCTTAGCTGGGACTTCAAGACAAATGCAAAAAATTACAATAATTTAGAGTAATCGTAGCAGCAATTCCTAAACAATCAACAATACACTGATAACTCTGACATCTGATAATGCGGTTCTAGAAAGATGGAGACAATGTTAACTCAGACAACAGAAGCTATGAGTCCTCACTTTAACTATCGATGAATACAAAACTCCAATTTGATGTGCTTTCTATCTCATGAAAGAAAAGTATTTACACACTAGTACACGATATTAACATGATATTTGATTATTCTTTTGAGTGACTTTAATTTCTTTGTGAGGAAAGAGAACTATGTATTTGCAGTGGATGCCGGTTTGTGAACGAAGAGTAATGTTGCTACAGTCATCAAGGAACAGAAAGAGGTTGAAGGTCATCAGAATTCTGATGAGCTCCAGTATATTTTGAGTGAGATATGCAGTTTTAGCGACAATACTATAAAACCTCTTGCATCTCATTACGGTTGCGTACCTCAGAAAGTTTTAGAATTAAAAGTATTTAAAGGATAAACTAGTTTCAAATTCAAGAACTGCTTCAATACTCAGAAAATAGACAAGACTTAGTTTTAACCACTTCGTAGATGTGAATGAATTCCTTGCAGAAGACAACTTTGCTAGAGTTTTAACAAGAAACAGATGCTATGTGATCTTGAATGCATTATGTCCAAACTTAGTTAATAGGGAATTTTTTCCTGGTGAACAACAGTTATTGCCTGGAAAACTGAATGTGCCAGTTTCAGAAATAAATATCATGTAAGGTTAATTATTCTTTAGTAGTACGCTGAATATGCGATAGACAATGGGAGTATAGTGTATTATTAGGTCTTACACTCTTTTAATAAAATTAAATGTGATAAGAAACGGAAAAATGAATCGTTAAGAATTACCGACTCTCGTAGGCTACAATTAAGTATATTGACTCACGCAAACTACTAATCAAACAACCCTGGACAATAAGTCAGGTTAACTTCATAGTAAATGGTCGCAAACACAGGTAATCTGCACGCATTACATCGTACGTTATATCTCTATCCTGGTTTTGAACTGTTCATAAAGTGGGCTTATATGAAGGAACAAAATGTGGAGAGAAACAACTGTGCAGGAATATGCAAAAGGTAGCGATAAAAATACATATAAGATCATGGGGGTATTTAAAGCACAGGTTTCAAGCGACAAATGGACCACGAAATGGCATCAAAAGTAGTCATCTGGGTGAATCTATGCACAGAAATTGCCACACCAAGCAGAGCATTTTGCGGTAAGTTTACCGTATCTCAGGGTAAAATGTCTTGAGAAATGCCTCGAAATAATGGTGTTTTGTTATCCAAAATCCCGAAAATAACACCCCCCCCCCCGAAAAATGCCTACTACGTTTCGGACCAATGTACAATTGGGAAACACCCATGGAACGCACAAGAGTTGCAATCCTGCATAATTACGTTTTACTATCTAATTGGTCTTCAATCAAGTTATGTATTCTAGTGATGCCTTTTTAATTTGCAGCCACTCCGAGCTGTTGTTCGAATTAGATTTGTTGGCTGTTCACTTGGGCTGGTTTACTTTATTTTCATGCACGAATTCAACCCAATTGTAGTGCATGAGGACTTGTAATATATCTTATATATGAAAGTGCTGTAAAAAAAGCCATGAATAACATACTGATCAATGAGTTTTCAAAAAATTCCTTTCGTTTTTACGAACATGTACTCAACTCTACGCCATACGCTGGGGAATGAGCGTATATACACTAACACTTAAATAAAATTGATATTACAGACAGAATTTTGAAATACCGTAATCTGTACAATGTCCAATATCCAATATTCTGATTACGAGCTAGTATAAACCAGTTATTTCTTTGAGCTCGCTTCTTGATTGTAAGGTAGAGGTTCCAGATCTTCGGTGAACTTATGCGTAGTAAGTCCCGCCACTCGACTGCTTTAGTTCTGGTAGACTCCAAGAGGAATGGTGCGGGGATTGGTCAAGGTGTGGTTTGTAGTATGCAGTATGTTAGGACTGTGTTGCTGCCGTGAATGGAGTTCGACCTAACTCCCGTTGGTCATTCGGTGTAGTCATAAAAGCAGAATAGTAATAATAATAATAATAGGTTGTAGTGTAGACAATATAAGTTGAGATAAGTGAAATAATAAAGGTGACCTAAGGAAGAGATAGAGTAGTCGGTACAGTGAGAGAAGACAGAACGGGTCGTGGGGATTTAGTTTGTATGCTTATCCAATGACAGTGTGGTTTCAAATTTTAAGAGGATAAGCCATTGAGACACAAACCATGCATTTCTGCATGATTGTCCAGCTTCCGCTTAAAAGTCTCCACAGATGGCGCTGTAGTCACGGCCGCCGGTAAAGCGTTCCAGAGACGGCAAACTTGAAGCGAGAAGAAATGTGAACGCACTCGAATCTTTGGTCTCTGGTATGCTATCCTTAGTGGGTTACCTCGTAGAAGCCTATAATCACCTAATGGCAGGATGCTTTTATTTGGGTGAGCCTGGTCATTTAAGATCTTGTAGACGGTCTCCCCTGTGACTACGGCGACTAAGTGTGAAAAGACTTAATTTCTTCAGTCTTTCCTCATATGATTTGTTGCGGAGGCCGATCACCCATTTTGTCGCTCGTCTCTGGACACTTTCTAGAATGTTAGCATCCCTTTTGAGTAGCGGAGGAGCAATGATATTATGCACCTCAAGGAGTGGCCTCACGTATGTCGTATACAACCTTAACAATAGTTCGGGAGTAAGAGCTCTCAGCTGCCTATGCATAAAGTGCAAAGTAGCGTAAGCTTTGGCGACGTCCCTCGTGTAATTTACACTGGTGTCTAGCTTTTCTGTTAAAATAAGACCTAGGTCGCGTTCTGATGGCACACAACTCAAGTTCTGGCCACCAAGGGTGTAATTTACACTCTGTGACCTGCCGGAATGAAGTTGCACTACTTTGCACTTCTTTAGGTTGAAAGGCATTCCGTTAGCCAGAGCCCAGTCTCCCAGAGTTTGCAGGTCAGCCTGCAATCTGTCTGAACCCTCCTATCAGTTTTTGCTCTCCAAATCTTTACGTCGTCAGCGTAAAGAAGCGCAGAGCGGTTCAGTTGACAGGGCAGGTCGTTGATAAAAATCAAAAATATCAACGACCCTAAGATAGAACCCTGAGGAACCCCTGATGCTGAGGTGTGCCAGGATGACCGGATGCGGTTGACTTTGGTGCAGAATTCTCTGTCGCCTAAGTAATCTTTCAGCCATGCGAGAAGTGCTCCAGAAACACCCGCCTTGGTGAACTGTATCGAATGCTTTCGCAAAGTCGAGAAAGATAACATGGGCTGGCACCTTTACGTCCCAGGATGGTGTCCAATCGATCCAAGCTAGTAGAAGATTCGTCACACAGGATCTTCCCCTCCTGAAACCGTACCGTACTTCATGGAGTAGGTTAGTCCCGTCGAAGTATTTTCTCATGTGGTCGTCAATGAGACTTTCTAATATCTTCGATATCACTGGAAGTAGCGCAACTAGTCTGTAACTGGTCGCATTCTGCCGGTCACCACCCTTGAAGATAGGGGATAGGATGGCTCGTTTCCATTCACACGGAAGTTTCTCTACATCAAAGGAGTGTTGAAACAGATCACTTAGGGTTTGGCAGAGACTTTCTGAACACTGCTTCAGGACTGATGGTCTTATGTCATCGCAACCTGCAGACTTTCCCGAAGCCAACTTTCCCAATTTTACGAGTACCATAGCCTGGGTAGTTTGAAATATACCCAGCGGGTTTTCGCATGTTGGTTTTGCATTGTAACCTTGATGTTTTGTGGGGGTAAAATCCTCGTTACTGTTCAGTTGCCTGTGGAAGGCTAGACTGAATGTCTCTGCCATTTCAAGACTAGTAAGAGATTTCCCATCAGAACCCACTAGATTGCAAGCTCCCTGGTTGGTCGGTTTTCTTTCAGACATAAACCTTTATAGGCTTTTGGGGTTCACGAGAAGCTTATTGGCGAGGTTTCTCTGAAGTGTCCTTCTATCACTCCGGACTCGTATGTTATATCGATTCCTGAGTTCAAGGTACACTTCATGTTCGAATTGACTCTTCGATACTCGCCACGCGAACCAGGCTCTTCGCTTCGCCGGCAGAAGGCGTTGTGTCCTCCTTTTTAGCCATGAACGTTGCTTCCTAGCTTTTGGTGTGACTAAAGGAACAGTGTCTGAGACTTCCTGGTGAATGATCTCATCTACCACTCCCCAGTGTTCTGCTACTGTTAGCTCTGCCCATTTTTAGGCCAATTTGCTTCAGACAAAAGTCTTCGCATTTCGGTGTAATTGGCTTTGTTAAAACACAGATAGGGCTGTGTATTGTCCCACTGTAAGCGCCCGCGGAGGAATATATCGAATACTATGACCGTGTGGTCACTACTACCTATGGGAGTCGTGATCTGAACGTTTTCCACTAGTAGCTGGTCACTAGTGAGCACATAATCCAGTCCAGAAGACTTCCCATCTGGGTCCCATCTAGTATCCATCCTGACATTTTCAGTGAATCCAGCCTTCCTGATGGTATGCAGCAGATTTCGATCAAATCTATCATGGGCGTATCCCAACATCAAGTTAAGAGATGGGGCATTGAAGTTGGCAGCTATGACTATTTGATCACAACCCATGTCTTGTGTCGCTGAAATTGTATTCAGCAGTGCCTGTTTGTGGTCTGCTCCACATGAAGGTGATCGATAAATGCTGCCCACTAGATATTTGCAGTACCCAAGGGTGAAATGGCACCATATAGAGTCAGGAAGCTCAGTGGGGGGAGGGTCCATTGCGTGAACACATCTGAGCTGTTTGTCGACGTATATAATAATATATATTTTCCTATCAATGTAGGACACACCAGCTGTACAGGCATGGATAAGTATTATTTAAATTACATGAATTTGATTTATAGTGAAATTACATGGTTGCTCTCCTCTCTGACATCAGTTAGTGAGCACATTCTGATAGTTAGTCGTTCAATGGAGCACATAAAGAAATATAGAAATATTGTCTTCGCATTAACAAAAAAACCCAAGTATGTGTCGGATAAATTACAAATATTTGGGAAAAAAATAAAGCTTGAAGTCAATTCCTCCATATAACTTTGTTGTGTGCGGCATCGTATCTTGTTTTATGTTCAAATTGTGTATTAATTTAAAATGAGTGATTAATTTTTATGGTCTTGACATCATTATTTTGTAGGTAATACCAGATGTGAGTTCAACTGAATGCAGATTAATATTGGTCAATTTCAAGGAGATTTGTTTTACTGCACTCAAGTCACCCATAGCCCGCCATTTGTCACAGCATGGTTGCTCCGTACGAGTAAGTTGATAAACACGTAGAAAGCTATATAAAAACCATTTTAGATCGTTGACAGTGCTTGTACAAGATGCTGTACAGCGTCTAGTTATGGTGACAGTGGATTTCATCAAGGATGCTGAGCCATTACTAGCCAAACCTTGAGGGATAATATATGAGTAAGTGACTTCAATTGTTTCTCAGCTTCAGTCGGAATGTAGATCAATGCAACTTGTACTACAAAGTAAATACAACAGAAATGTACCAGAGGACAAAGAAAAAGCAGGTGGAGTCTAAAAGTTTTGATTATATTCGTTGTACATTGTAATTTGATGAACAAAAATTTGTTTCTACTATGTCTTTTTATGCATTTATGCTACTAGTTTATTTATAGTCTTTAGAGAAGTAAGGGTATTTAAGCGCGTTTAGGTACTGTAGTAGACTAATAGTTGATTCGTTCTAGGAATAAGTAGTTTATTTATATAGTCAGTAGAGTGAAATAGTGTGTACAGAGAGCGTTTGAAACTTAAAACTGTATTGCAGTTCCTGACATCTAGGGGCAGGTTGTTCCATATTTTAGAATACATGACTGTGAAGAAGTTTTCGCGAAGTGTTGACTTAAAGGCTTTCATTGTCACTGTGCAATTTTGGTTACGCAGATCGTAGGAGCCTTCTTGTGCGAATTGTATGTCCTTAATGTCTGAGAATGATATTTTGTGTAGGACCTTATATAAGAATACTAGTTTTATAATTAGTCTTCTTGTCCAGAGTGGGTCAAGTTGTAGAATCATGCACCGTGAGATGTAGTCTTTCTTACATTCGTAGCCAAGTAGTTTCGAGGTAAAATATCGTTGGATACTTTCAATTCTTAGCTTTTCACGTGTGTGAGTGCTGCTAATAATAAATGGACAGTATTCTAGTAGTGGCCTCACACAGGTTTTGTACAGAATGAGCTTTGCTTCATTGTCGTGAAAGTTTCTGAGTATGCATCCTAAGAGCATCCTCGACTTTTGAGTCTGTGATGCCACTTGCTCAGAGAATGTTAGGTTACTCGAGTACCTCAGACCTAGGTCAACGACACTTTGGGGTTTGGTTAGGTTAGGCGATTGAAGTGTCAACTTCATGTCGACTGAGGGTGCACCGAAGCAGATCCAGCCACATTTTTTTAGGTTAAATTGGAGGTTCCATAAAGACGACCAAGCAGTCACTTTATCTAGTTCTTTTTGTACAACATTCTGGAAGTACCCTAGGTCATCAGATTGGAATGTATAAGCTACTTTGAGGTCATCTGCAAAGATGAGTGGTTTCCCACGAGAAAAGCAAGTGCATATGTCGTTAATATATAGGGTAAATAGAAGGGGTCCAATGACACTACCTTGTACTACACCAGAAGTGATTGGGCTAGGTTTCGAAGTTATAGATCCGAGTTTAACTATTTGGGACCTATTGTTAAGGAATGATTTAAGCCATCCTAATAGTGGGTCACGTATTCCTATGGCGACTCAACCTCCTTCCTTCAGGTCCCTATCTTGCCTCACT